CAACAATAACTTAAGCAACGCTGATAACATCAGCAGAAATGAAACAGACTATTCACCTCATTATGATAGTAGAACAAAAGATTTTCTTTCAACTGAAGGAAAACAGGTAATGATTTAATATTAATTTGTATTAAGTTTTTTTGTTTCAGTTATTTAATAAATTAATTTGACACAGGCTGTAGCCAATTTGAAGGATACCAGAGCAGCCATAGCAGACCGTCGACTGATGTTCTTCAATGAATGTCCTAAGTCACCCTCATCACCTCTCAGACATTCAAATAGCTCATCATTTAACACAAATTCATCTCTAAATCAGAGATCTAGCTTGTTGCTTGACAAAGAAATGAATACAATGAAATTATCTAATAAAGCTGGGAATGCTGAAAATAATTTGTCATCATTTTCTAGTCATAATCTGAACGAAAGTTCAAGAAGTTCAGCTTTGTTCAAAAAGGCTAATAACCGATATTCTTACAGAACTGTTGACTTGATTAAACAATGTCCACCACTAGAATTATACACAACATCCCCTATTTTGTCTCCAGCTACTACGGAAATAAATTCTTCTACGGTCTTCAGACCAAAAATAGAAGTTGCTAAATCAGAAAAACCATTTAAAGAGGTTTGTCAAGGCCAGACACCACCACCTCCAACTTTATCTCTTGTGACAAGTGAATCAATTGTTTTGCAAATATCCGAATCTCTACCTTCTTCTGTCATAAACACAGTTGCAGATAATGTTATTAAGCTTTCTTTCTCTCCTCAAAGGCTCATGCAACCTACTTCTACCTCTGACAGCAAATGTGTTAATGTTTGTAAAAGCTCACAACCGATTGCTGTAACAATGACTTCTCATAACAATGAAGCCAAAACTGGTGTTAATGACACAAAACAACTATGTACTAGTAAATTAGAAATTGATCTTAAACATGATTCTCAAACTAGCAGCAGTGATCACGAACAAAACATGCCAAATTTCACAGCAAAAACGTTAAATAGCAACCAAGTATTTTCCAATGCTAACAATGACTGTGTTAACCTGTCAAGAATTGATAGTGAAGATAGCAACACTGATTTAAATAAATCTCAAAACTTTAAAACTTGCCTAAATCTGAACGATGTTACATTCTTTTCATCTCCAGAAAATACTTTTTCGTTCCAAGGTTTGTTATTTTAGGTTCTTAACTCCATCTATCTTTTTACATGTTTCATCATCATCATCATTTTCATCATCATTTACTGAATTATAAAACTCACCCACAAGTTTTCTGTTATGATTCATGAAGATAAATAGTATCATCATATAGGGTTAGATTAATTAAATTGATTTTATAACATTAAATGGATTTTATAACATTTTCAAATTTTTTATTAGGAAATAGCACTGGTGCAGTTTCTGAGAAATCACAAACTGATGTTAAACCTGATGAGATTCAAAGGTTTCCCAGCGGTTGGTCTTGTTTTTTTTTTACATCCCATAGTCACAAACATTTGAAACTGAGAAAAAACTAATTCGTTAAAATGTCTTTAGTGTTGTTATTTTTTAATATCATTATTATTTCATAATTAGATTCAATTAAAAGCTTCATTATCTCTTGATCTTGTTTGCAGAATGGTGAGATGACTGGAGATAAATAATGAGATAAATAATCTTAAGATCAATCATTATTAGTGTAATTATGTCTCAATCATATTCATATGTTTATCACATACATTCAATTTTAGCCCACATGTAACAGGTTCATCATGTGTATTCTATTTTATTCTATGTATGTTAATTGATACCTTTCTCTTAATTACGCTTACATACTCATTGATGATCATGATCTAAGCTCATTGTTTTCTCTATTCTATTTTACGTTCATAATTCTATTTTTTTTTCAACAATTCAATTTTAATCAATTAGAACCAAGATATATTTTTCTTAATATTTCTGAATATTCTATTTTGATTGTTTCAAAAACATTTCACACATTGGATTGGATGCAACAGATTTATCATATTTCATGTTGATTAATCACATAAAATTGAGTTCACCAGTTTTTTTTTATAAGTTATTTTAGTGGCATCGCAGCCAGTGTTTGTCTCATCTATGAAGTCTTATTTATTATTATTGTTAACGGATTGTGATATTAAAAAAAAAATCAAAAATCAATTTGATGTTATTCTTTGTTTTGATCTAGGTCAACATTCATTAAAATGATTGTTATTAAAATGTTGTATATTTTCAGAGGAATCCTTACCATCCACTCCTAATTCTGGTTCCTTGTTAGTTTTCATTGCTTTCAATATTCTACATTTTATATTATTTAACATCTTTCTATTGAAATATTTTTACAATGACACCAAATAAAACATTATGTTGTCCATCAGATCCAAGGAATGAGAGAGACGTGTTTAATGTAGAAACAGTATTTATTTGTCTGTTTTATTTCTATTTTATATTTATTTTTCTTGCACATTATTGAACATAATATTTTTTATGAACTTTTTTTTTGCTGCCCTTCAAAGTAGCCCACCAAGAGCATTCTGTCATCGATACATTAAACAATAAACTCTAAATAAACTTCAAATACAATGCAATAAATACAATAAACTTCAAGTTGAACATTTTAATCAATGTTTCAGTTATTTTGCATTCCTGTTTAACCCTCTTTTCTAATCAGAATGTGAAAAAGAATGTGAGTAAGGAAGAAGAAAAAATGTCCACATCCTTATTAATTCATACTAATATTTAATCTTTTGAAAGATTTCAATAATGAACAAAGAGTTAATAAATTCACTGGCTGTTAAACATAGGCTAACATCAAAAGACATTCACAACCAACCTGTCATTATAAAACAATTATCTCATCATAACAACATTTTCAGCCACTAGTGTATAAATTATATAACGTGTATGTATGTATGTACATATAAATTGTTTATAAATTAAATAATAATAATAATTTATATAATGTATGTATAAATATTATAATTTGTTTGCTTTATTATTAAGTGATGATAACAGGACATTTTTATTCTCCTTCATATGCCATAATTTTGTATGTGTTGCGTTTTTTACTTCAAACACACTCCTCCTTTGTTCAACTTTGATATGTATTCCTCTTTAATGGTTTTTAAGCTTTGTTTAAAGTGACATTTTAATAGATTACATGTTTTCAACATTGAATACTGTTCCAATACTGTTTCATATTCATTCAGATCATCTTCCATGAAAAGTGCTGGCATAAACAAGTTCAAAGCATTCTTCACAGAAGGAACAAACGTTAAATTTTTTTTATTATATCCAACTTCCATTTAAAAAATGTCGCTAAAAGTTTTTGATCAAGTTTTCGTGACATTTAATTGTAGAATGGCCTGGGCAACTCATCAGTGGAATACATATAAGCAGTTTCAGATCTTTAATATTCATGTAATTAAGCGGCACGATGGTATAACGGTAAAATGCCTGGTACTACTGTTGCCGGGACGGGATTCGGTTACAGAGAGATCCCCGCCTAACACACACACAGCTTCTGTTACGCGTTGTCTCACGTGTATTTACATGCACTGTGGGTTTGTTGTTGTTTGACGCGTCTGAAAAATATTGAAAAGAAAAATGTAGTAAATAAATGAATAAATAATTTAAATAAACAAATGACTGAATAATTATTCAAAAATAAAGATCATGATGGTGGCTAGGATGATGCCGTCATAGATGATGAGGATTGATAATGATAGACATGGTCTCATTCTTTTTGATTAGTCACAATAACACTCTATAAAAATATAGCATAACATGCCACTTTTACTGTTTACACAATTATGGTATTTGTTATTTTAGGTTATTTTTCTTCTCTGTTATTTTCTAACTATTTTCTTATTGCCCCCACTTAGATTTTCGGCTCTGAAGTGAAACAGGTCTATTCTACAGATCCAGGAATCTCGCTCTCGGATTCCTTTGACTCCAAGGTCTTTATGCTAAGCTCTTATAATAATGAATGATGAATTGTTATCCAAATTTGTTAATTAAATAAAAACGTAATTTATTCCTAAATAAATAGATGAACACTAAACGCACCACACACACATAAACACACGTATATATATATATATATATATATATACATTTAATAATTTATTGATGACAAATTATTATACAGAGGTCATCTGATTTGAAAGCTGACAAAGCAAGTTTCAAAGCAAAACGTTCTATGACAAAACAGCAGCAGCAAAATAACAACACTGCAGTTTCCAAAGGGTCGCCTATATTTAAACACAAAAAGTCTCCAACTGAGAAAGGTTGTTATTGTTTATTATACGTTCAGTTTTACTGATTTATCACATTTTATACTGTTAGGAATGTACATTGCGCCAGCTGTTCATCTTAATTTTACAGCTATACATTTTCTATTTATAACCGTATTTTACATTGCCAGCATGTCTTTATTTAGATTAGACAGCTCATTTAAGCTTTCAACTAAATTTTGAATGCTCGCCTAGCATTAGACTAACTTCAAACGTTGTCTTGAATAACCTTATTCGTTAACACAGTTAGATCTGAAATGATAACATGCAGAATCACAAAGTCACAAGGAGTCGTGGAAGGGCCGTATGGCAAGAACAATCAAGCGTTATGGATCAGGTTCAACTCTACTAACCTCAGACACCGTTGCAACAGTCGCTGAAGATGTTAAGTTGACAGGGGTGTTTGGAATTCCACTAGAAGCATGCCAGCCTTCAACGAATGATCCAGTAAATTATTCATGTGTTGTGTTACGTCATGTCATGTCATGTTGGACTCCTGCCTCTTTCTCGTTGTGTTGTTCATTATGTTATCATTATTCTGTTATTATTGGACCATAATAGCATATTGTTTGAAATGGCTCAGGCTGATGTGATTATAAAAATAATAATAAATATTATTATTATCACCTCAATTTTATATTTCAATCGTTCATCATTAACATCATCGTCACCATCAACAACAACAACAACACCTTAACTACTAGTTAGTGCCAATGATTGTTGAGGTGTGCACAAGGATTGTAGAGGAACGAGGACTGGACAATCAAGGTGCCTGAACAACTGATTGATTCTTTCCTTTCATTTGACAAGCATATATACACACGCACACCTATACAAAAATTTATTAGTCAAGCTCACATGAACTTTATCGAATAATTTATACCTAAGCATTGTAACTAATTTTTATACGTGTTTTAGTTGTTGGTTTACGAGCTAATGAATGATTTATGCATATTTTTTGAACAGATTATTTTTTTTAATTTCAGGCATTTATAGGGTGCCTGGTAATACGGGAGCGCTGAAGGAGTTGCAAGATGAAATAAATAAAGTTAGCTCCTCTTCAATCTCGTTTACCCTGCTTGCCTATGTCTCCATTTTTTTGATCTCGAAATTTTTCTAAAAACAGTTTTTCGAACTAAGATGAAAACATGTGATTGTGATGGTTATTATTTTCAAGTATTAAAATTATGCTGATAAAAATTCTTTAGTATTTTTAATTTTTTACATGGTTAATGGTTATTTGAATGATACCAACTATGTGTTTAATATTCAAATTATTATAATTCCGTCTTCAATGAGGACGAAAAAGGTTTGTGCCTGTGCAGCGAAAAGTGGCAGGATGTCAACCTCGTCAGCAGTCTGCTCAAGTTGTTCTTTCGAAAGTTGCCTGATTCACTCATCACTGATGGTGGGTGCAGTTTTCATCAGAAATACAAATTTTTTACACAAGTTTTCGCCGGTATTAGCTTTTTTTATGATGTCTTACTTTAAAATGAATGTCAGACTGCCAAACCTCATAAATTATTGTATTAATAGAAAAAACTTGCATGACTATTATACACCAGAACTTTATGAATCGGTTATCTCGGCCATGAGAACCGAAAGGTCAGAGAGGAGGATGTTGAAGTTGAAGAAGTTGCTGCATGACTTGCCAGATCATAATTTCAACACATTCAGATTTCTCATGAAACATCTCAGCCTGGTGTCACGTCATGAGGAAATGAATAAGGTCGGCAATATAACATCTAGTATGCTGCTTTGTATTGATTTGGTTTCTTCTTTGTTGTACCTTACTTACGTTGAACCAACATTTTTTCGGATCAGACTTTTATAATTTTGTTATGACTAAATTCTAAATATTCATTACAGGTAAAGGTAATTTTCTATAGAATTGTTTATTTTATGAAAAACTAAGTTAAGATTTTGATGAGAGGTCAGAAGTTTCTAACCTGTTTTAATTATAAATTTCGTTCCTACTAAATGTTGCATTATTAGATGGATGCTCATAACTTGGCCATAATGTTCGGACCAACCTTGATTCGACCTCAGGACAACAACATTTCAGTAATGGCTCGCAACATGGCTGAACAGTGCCGAGTCGTTGAGATGATCGTCACACACGTGTGTTTGCATTGATTGTTTTTTATCACTATAATTATTTTGTCATCGTTCGTTTCCATTTATATCCATGGAGTTAGATACAGATTTATTTGAGTTAGGCATAAAATTATAACTTTTATTTAAAAAAAATGCCAATTTCATAATAGCATGTGGAAGTCAGTCTGTAGTGATTTTACCCCATGCCTAACATTGAAAATTTATTGCAGTGTGATTGGTTCTTCAGTTCTTGGGATGAGGATGTATACGTGCCAGTTGATGAAGAAAGTGAAGATCTCACTCCTGTCATCAACGAACAGATGCTTGCAAAAGCACAAAGTATGGGTAAGTTGTGTTTATCATTCTTCTTAATTTTACTTTGTGTTTCGTTTATTTAATAAGGATGATTTATATAATATTATGTATTCTCGACAATGCTGGGTCATTGTAGAATTGTAACCCAAATTTTGTGGGTTTATATTTAGAACTGTTTTGGCTTCCCTGGATTAAATTCTACTCTGAAATCGTGGGATTATAATGTGAATAAATGTCTCATCTCGTGATTGTGATAATAATTATGAAAAGATGCCGCTTATTTCATGTTCACACGTATCACTAGTTGTTTGATACATGCTGTGGCTCTATCTAGACACACGTAATTGCTCCTGGGAACTTTACTACTTTCTCAACAATTTAGAATTCACGAGGTTTTAACGTATTATAGTTGAATGTATTGTAATCATTTTCAACTCCATAACATTCACTAAATATTTACTAATGTATGTTACAATAATACAATGCCAGCCACGTACACTCACACATTATGAAATGGATCATAATGTTCCTAGAGTTGAAAGGTATAATAATGTTCTACATCTACCGCGCGCGACTTTTTGTGTGAATGTGTGTGTACGTGCGTATGTGTGTGTGTACGTGTGCGTGTTTATGTACTTGTTTGTGTGTTTTGCTTGCTAGGATTGTTGTTTTGTAACACTCGTTATTTAATCCAATTATATATACGGTGACTGTATTTGTTTATTAGTGTTTTTTTTTATTAAATTAATTTTTTTTAATTTTTAAAATTTTTTTTCATTTAACATCAATTTATTATTATTATTATTATTATTATTTTGATTTAAACTTACTTTTTACGATAATTAGTTTGGCGGCTGTGTTTATTTTGTTTATCTCGTTTTAACAATGGCTTGGTTATAATAATAATAATAATAATAATAATAATAATAATAATAATAATAATAATAATAATAGAAATAATAATATTTATGAGAGGCTGAGTGAATTGAATGCAGGATGCTGTCACCACTATCTTCACCATCACATCTTTTTAATTTGATCAGCTCTCACTCGTTAGGAGCAGCAGGCTGCAGAATTAATAATTACGCTAGTGCTGTAATTTTTTGAGATTAAAAATTAGATAGTGTGGGGAATGTAGTTGTTTAAATGTATGCTGAAAATTTTGCTCGGATATCAAATAACAAATAAAATAAACGGATCCACGTGAAATAGGTGACGGTGATGATGGCACGATGTCTTACGTTCAATTTATTCACATTTGTTAGATTTCTTCTTTACTTGACTGTTTATTTTCGTTTATTTTATTAAACATATTGAAAATTGTAGCTTTGTTAGCATAATTTTAATTTTTAGAAATTCGTTTTGTTTTTTGTTTATAGGCTCAGTGAAGCTTCATTAAAAAATTGATAAGTCGTATCAGACTGAGGTTCTTAGTAACCAGCATGACATCATTTTCGTTATTGTGTCGTGAGGGCTAACATATGTTAACAATAAATTATTTGAAGAACGAACGAACAAACGAGAAATAAATTTGTTGCACAGTTTTTTAAACCTTTAATTTTTAACTAAGAAAATTAATTCAAATATCAATTTCCTTTTAAGCAAAAATTGATGTCTAACATTAAAAGTATGCCCTTCAAATATTCTGCCCTGCAAACTTCGGAGTTCCCCTCAAAATTTTTTTTACAAAAAACGTTGAATTTCTCAGTTATTTTCAATATTCATGCTTCATGAACGCATAGCATTGATTGATTGAATTGGCCTAATTTTCATAATTAAATAACAAACTTTTTGTTACGTCAAAAAATGATTGAAATATTTTTCAATTCACAATAAAAAATATCCTTAAACACGTTGGATGTAAGCATCCGCCGCATAGGATAAAAATCTTGCATAATCTGTGTTTGTGTCAGCGTATCTGATAGAAGTGATCCACCCATCTTTATTGTTTAGAAATTTTTATTTTAATTACTTAATTATTTTGAACAAATCTCAAAATGCAGTAGTACGTTGTGCATTTCAGAACTAAAATTCTTGTGTTTTTTTATCAAAAGTACGATATTCTTAAGTACGTTTTATCTCTATGAAAATACATACAAAAGTATTGGCGTTGTAAACACTCTTACTTCATGTTCGAGTCCGTTAAGACGTTTCACTGCATACGTACGCTTACATAATACGTGTTCATTGTCATATAATATTTAAAATCAATAACAGTTGTTGACTAAAAGTTTTAAATGTTAATGATTTAAAAGGTTCGCCTAGTACGAGCAACGATTTTTCACTAAGCAATCGTCCAAATCATCTTCAAGTTCATTACCAGCTTTCATCTTCATCACTGAAAGTCTCATCAACATCAAGAAGTCGTCACCTCGAATCAGTTGTGTCATCTGTCGTCCGAGCAGCTAACAGGAAGTTAAAGTTGGGTGGGCACCAGAATCACAAGTCTAAAAATCAACAACAGTCCAACAGTTCGTCATCCCTTTCAAAATTATCTCCAGCTAATGCAGCACATGCAGTAACGAAAGAGTCCTTAATCAAACGTGCACCACAAAATTCGTCATTTATGTCTGAAACATTGAGGAGCAATGCTTATGCAAATCAAACATCCTCAACGAAATCTGATGAAATTATCTGCGCAAACAGACGTCAAACAGATTCAGATACGCTAACAAAAAATAATAATTTAATAAACTCTACTGGCGTTAAATACTCCGCTGTTAAATTCCACTCTCATAATTGCAGTCTTGACCTTGATTGTTCGCAGGCTGGTGTTCATGATAGTGAGCACACAAGTGGAAGTGACAACCTGCCAGTTAGCTACCACAGTCACGATGATGTTATAAACAACAACAACGTTTCAGTTCTTAATAGTGCTCAATATTATTCCGCTAGTTCTCCGTGCATTGCTGACATCACAACATCCAACGTCAGTAAGGAATCTAGATGCGCTACTCACAATAATGACAACTACTCGAATGCACTGTCAAGTTTTTGCATGCAGTATTCTCACAACAACAACAGTTTTGTTACAACTGCCGATGTTAATGTTAACAAGGATCTGAACATCGTTGTTCCCCTTCCAAACAACAGCGCCCACGCTGGCTCTTCATTTCATACCAACAACAACAACGGTCTCGACGAATGTGGGGACTTGGTGATTAATTTGGTACGCCACACAAAGTACGATGTTAACACAAAAACTGCACGTTACTATCATCTCGCTGACAACAGACCACCTGCTCGGTTACCTTGGAAACTAAACAACAACAACAATCAATAAGCAGACGTATAAATAAAATGAATTAGGTATATGAGTAAATAAATAATTAGAAAGCTGTTGTCATCCATATTGATCATAATAACGTTGTTATATATAATTGTCTTTTGATTGCTTGACACAGTCGTTTATTCCCATTGGCATGATATATATTTACTTTTATAATAATAATAATAATAATGATATGGAGGTCGTACGTGTCGTGATGCTATGTGGCAGATTTGTTATTGATGATTATTGACGTTGTTAGTATTAGTTCTGTTAATGTTTTTTTTTACAATTTGATAAAACTGATATTATTGTTTTCATGAGGGCTCTACTCTGTCCTTAAAGTTATTTTTTGCAGACGTATTTTTAGTTGTTTATTGTGTTTGTTGTGTTTGTTTATTGTATTAATGTTGTTGCTGAATGTTTGTTTGACTTATCTTTTTTTAAATTTGAAATCGGCCTGAAAAATTCAATAGAAATGGTGATTAATAAATAGCTGCAATTACAAGTTGATCTTATCTTAGTAGTATCTATATTACAATGCTTTTCATATTTCTTTTTTTAAGCCATCTTCACTAGTTGCACTACAGTATTGTTTTAAAATTTTTTAAAATTTATTGACAACCGCGATTTTTTTAATTTATTTTTACAATATCTCAAAGCTAGTCCCAACATAGCTTCCATATATATATATATATGTCTGTGTGTGTGCAATTTGTAAATTGTTATATTACACTTAAACATAATCTTTTTGAGAAATTTGCGGGTATTGTTTGGTTGTTAATCATTAAACTACTTGATCATTTGAGAGAATCAAAAAAATTATTTATTGGATTTACTTGAGTGTATCTTAATATTTTTTCTACCTATGTACGTCCATTATACAGTGTTCACTTTTCGTGTGCTTCTTTCTTGGACACTAATCTAATTAAATGGTTTCATTATTTTGATTATTTTTTGTTCTGTGTTCATTTATATAGCAATGACAGTTTTTTCCATCTTAATATGTCCGTGTGAACTGACCATGTAGTGTTTGTTTGAATTTTTCGAAGAACATGTTCATGCGTTTAGCTTATTTGCTTCTTTTGTACATCCGCCAACAACCTTCCTAACTTTTTAATAAGTATAGTAATAATTGCATTGATAAACATTTTGAGGTTTAAATGAACTCGATTGTTGTCCACTTGCAAGACTTCTCAGAATGGTTAGATCGCTTAAATAGATTTAAATGCAAAGATAATCTATTGATGTAGATATGTAGCCCTCCATACAGATGTAATTCATATTCACGTTCTATATAGATGTGTTTGCATTCTAAAGTTTACGTCTGTTACAATGCTGTGTCCTTGTGAGCAATGTGTAGTGTGCTGTTCTCATCTTTGTCTGTGTGTGTTTGTGTGCGTGTGTGTATGTGTGTGTGTGCGCATATATGTCAACGTTTCTTGGAAGGGTTTTCGATGTTTTTTGGAATCCTGCGACATAATATATTTATATTATATATATATATATATATATATATATCTCAAATGATATATATATATATATATATACATATATTTAATGTATATATTTGATGAAATAATCTTTTGTATCCATCCTTACAAGTTTCCATCTATTTGAGCTCACAGAAACTGGTCTAATTGGTTAATTTTATATTGAATTGTTCTTGCTTTCTTACTCATAAAACTCTTTATATTTGCATTTGTTAAATTTGTCCGTTATATTCTCATGATGATGTGAGCATTAGTAGTGATCAATTTATTATTCGATCAATACTCACCAGTGACGTTTTAACGAATCCTTTTTGTTTTTAAAAACTTTAGCAGTGTAATTTATTTCATGCCATGACTTTTTTTTTAATGAATCGAATTTTTGTAATGGCCTGGTATCGAAAGTACCATTGTGCATATTTATCTGTCTACCTTTGCATTTATTATTTTCACCTTATAATCATTCTGTGTGACATAATTTTAAACAATCCTATACAATTATACTGCTATCGTAATGTATATTTAACATTTTTTTACGTTTCATTTCGATTTTTCTTTCCCTATTTTTATTTTATTTTTCTACATTTCATTTTTATCGAATACTGTTTCACTTATTATTTTTGTCGCCACTTTTCCTATGTTAGCATATGTTAGTCGTAAATAAACTAACTGTCAATTTAATCTATAATAATTTTTATTTGTTTTAATTTTCAGTAGACTCGTGTCGTATCATCTTCATCTCATCTGTCCAACTTGTTATAATATATTTGTTGTCTTGTTTCTAACGATATTCATTATTTTATTTTATTAGTCTGTAACAAATAAAAACGACAAATAGTTGCTTCCCAATGAGTGTGGTGATTTCATTAAAATAAATTCAACTGTTCAAATCATTAGCATCAATTAAACGGTACAAAACAATATATTTATGCTATTATTAATTATATTCCGTATCCTGACATCTGGGAATCACATTTAGTCATTAAAAAATATTTTTTATAATAAATAACACGATTGCAAAGTTAAGTCATTGGCCATGAATTAATTGTCAAATAATATACTAGGCACGTAAACGTTTGATTTGGCACAAAATTTGAATTTGCACATGAAGTTAATAATTTTAAAAAGTTAATGCGGAAGTTTTCGCTATCATAAGTTTCGTTTTACTCAGCGGAATGCGTTGAAAATTACTTTAAAATGTCTGCTTCACCAACAAATCTATAGTCATAAAATAAAATTCAAAATCTTATTTGAACATTGAGTTCATAGTTTTCAAATGCGGTACATGAATATAATAAAAATGATCTGCCAATTAACGATGGTCAAAAACTGTTGGAATGCTTTATTTTTTATCGGTTGTCCATTGCAGAGGTCCTCACGCAATTCGTTGATTAGGCATTTAAAATAACAATAAAATAGAAATGACATTCATAAAGTAAAATAATCAAGAATATTTCAAGTAACTTTACCAATAATTTTAATTTATTATCGATTTGAATAATTTCTGGTATTGGGCTGGCGGAAAGTTTTTTTGATTTTGGGGTAAAATTTGTTCTGCTTAGTTGATTTCTATGTTCAGGTATTATATCTTTTAATAGGAAAGTTAGGACGTTGGTGCTTTTGCAATCCGCTGCATACCTAGAAATAACCACATGCCTAATAATTATCTAAGGAGCATATTTTACTAATCAACACTTTGCAGTATGTTATCTTATGAGCTAAAAAATTACTGGAGTCTGACTGGCAATCAAGCTTATTTGAGGAGAGCTTCGATATTTCGATTTCCTTTGTTTGTCCGTGGAAGAGTAAGTAGCACCACGATTTCCCGTCAATTATTAATTTGCTATGGTCGGAGAAAAAATTGATCTGCGTGATAAAGTGTTAAAACCTAAAACAAAGTTAAAACAGTAACACATTCAATTACACGTTGACTCTTACAAGCGTACTAGCAGCTGCTCTTACCCTTTCTTTATGAATTTAAAATAATTACAATTGTTTAAAATATCGCATTAACCTGGAAGCTGTTGTTGCTTAGTAAAAAAATAATAGACGATTCGCATCTATACCAGGTGATCACAAACACTAAAGATGACGACTTCATTTCTTTTTTCTCTACACTTTTATTTGATAGGCCAGCCTAAAGAACAATTTAGGTACACTTAAATTTTTTAATTTTAGAAAATTAACATGAAATTTGCCTGACGTTTTTGCCCTTGACGTTTTACTTTCAAAAAATTTATTATATATATATATATAACTATATAATTTAAACGACAAACTGTGGAAAGATGTTTTCTCATATACTGCATGAAGTAGTGAAGAATGAAAAACTTCTTTTTGAGGTCATTTGGTACAAAGTTGCAGATGGTTCTCGTTGTCGTTTGGCCATCTTTGCCGTCTACCATGTATACTAACGTTCTTTTTGTTCATCAAAGTTTAATTTTTATTTATCGCAAATTCATAAAATGAAAATCTAGAAACCTTGTTTGTTTTAGAAAAATAAGTCGCGTGTCATCGTTGAATAACAGACCCACACTGTTATTTAGCTCGTACGATAGGCCATATTTTTCAGTAAAATCAACCCATTTGTCTACGCAATAGACATCAGGTGAAAATGATGCACGCAGTGATGACGACGATAATTGTGTAAGTGAAGAGAGTTGCGATGAAGAAGATGATGATGTAAGGGCGCTGTGAAGGTCCGATTCTATCGAGGATAACTTTTTAAAATACCTATCAAAAAGACGCCAATCTTTATTTAGGTTTAAGACGTCTGTAACGCCGATTGAATTTCCATTAACATCAATGTTATCGAGTTTTGTTGTCAGCGCACTCTTCTCATTTTTTTCATAAACACGACCTATTCAATATTAACTTTAAATATATTTGTTGCCTTTTAGACACCTAAAAATGCATAAAACTATTATACCGTTCGTGAAAAATTCATGCTTTTCAATATTTTTTATTTTAATTCTTTTTGATGGGTCCGGATTTAAAAGATTTGTTATCAAATTCTTTGCACTGCTTGACAGACCAGTTGGCAAACAATAGGCGTTACGTGCAATTCTCGAATAAGTTTGTTCAATGCTTGACGTTTCAAATGGCGGAGAACCAACCAACAATGTATACCTTCAAAGATGAAATGAATTAAATAGGTATAATTCACAAAATGTTATGAATACTCTACTGAATAATGTAACACTGAAAACAGACATTATGCATCCTAAAGACCACGCATCTACTTCATAACTATGTCCTTTTTTGCTCAACATTTCCGGTGATATGTAGTTTGGAGTGCCACATATTGCTCTGAAAATTTGTAAGATTAACATTTTTATAATATTTTATTTGCAAATATGATTATTTTAAAGTGCTACCGTTTTTTATCTCCGACCAAGTCCACAAGAGTTGCTAAGCCAAAATCGCTTACTTTAACTTCATAATTTTCGCCAAGCAAAACGTTTGATAGTTTCAAATCTCTGTGTATGATGCCATTTTTATGAAGGTATTTCACGGCATCAACTATTTGTCTCATGATTATACGACATTGACTCTCAGTTATGCGTTTTTTTTCTTTTTGCAGTTCAACTAGAGACTGATTTAAATGATTATTGCTGTTTTTCACGCAGCCATATAAATTTTGTAAATTAAAAATTGCGTTTTTTAAAAATGATGGAATGTTACTTTGTTTTCACAGAGCTCCAACAAAATATAAATGTTTTCATCGTCCTCAAAGTAATAACGGAATTTAACAATATTCTTGTGGTCCAAGGTCTTGTGAATTGCTATTTCTTGAGAAATCTTTTAAATCAATGTTAATCAAATAAATCCAGTACAATTAAATGATTCACCATAATAATTTGATTTAAAAACCTTTTCTTTCAGATCATCTTTCATCAGCAAGTGTTTTGATATAATTTTTGCAGCAACTGTTTCGTTGGTTTTGCAGTTTATAATTTCATAACATTCAGCGAAGCCACCCTTAATTTTATTCATTGTTAAAATTTACAAATTACATTGGTCATGCAACGACGTTATGTTGTAACGTACAGCATAAGAAGATGTTAATGGTGATAATATGATAACATTGCAGATCAAAATTAAAAGTTGTAACATGACATAAAACACAATATCTATATTAAATATTATTTATATGTAATAAAAATATGTAACGGTAATTTTATTTAATAGACCTTTCCAAGGAATTTTCCTTTGATGTAGTGTAACCCACTATCCTGGTCTACAATCATTTGTGTCATTATTTGAATTCTTTTTTTAATGATTTAAATAATTTTTGAGAAACACATGGAATTGCTCATATACGAAAAAATAAACTTGCAATCCTCTTCTACAAAATAGAAGCGTAAACATTCATGTAATTTGAAAACTGATCAAATGTTTAGTTAAATTATTTAACCTTTAGTTTAATAACTTTTTAAAATGTTTAACAACCCCATCATTAGCTTAAAGCTTGTCTGTTTGACGCATGTATGTTCACGTTTCAATTTTGCTTACAGCATTTCAGGCATGTTCTGACAGCTTCAGTTAATTGGTTGATGTGTCATTCTAATTAAATAAATAAATTTCCTAGAGGGCTAACACGGATGATAATCACACGCATTGTTCGATATTCTCACATTCTTTACAAATAATTTTTAGTTGAGTATTTTGTTAAAATAATAAGAACATAAATTAACTTCTGCTTATTGCTTCATTCGTTGCTAAGCAACTTCATCATCTGATTCAAGGGGCGGTGTATTTATGAAGGAGTCCGATAGCTTAACGGAACATTATGATGTTAATGATATGCTAATAATCCATTACTGCACATATGCTAATTATTTATACACAGAAAATATGCTAATAACCCCGTAGCAACACATATGCTAATTACTACACCTTAGCCGTAGCACAATTGCTAGATGCCATGCGACTGCTTTTTTTGTAAACGCAAAGGGCATATATACATATATTATTCTATAAATAAATCTGTACAAATGATCTGATACAACAAAACGAGCTGGTGTCGCGTTAATGTTTTTTTTTTCATTTTGCATCTAGCATGTCGGGTTCTACTGATTGCTTGAGTAAATATAAAAGGCATAAAAGGTTACAAATTATTTTTTTCAATATTTTCTATCTTTTATAAATAAGATATGTAAGTAAAGTAAAATAAAGCTGTTTTTTGTAGTTTCCAAAAATTGAAAAATGTCATCAGTTCATCTTCTTCCTCTACTTTCTTTTGTCATTCTATTCCTGACTACAGTTTTAAATTTAAAAAATGTGTTTTTTTCGCCATTATGTATTAAAAATTAAATCATGTTTAAAACTTTTTGGTGTCATGAAAGTTGAAGACATATAAGAATATATATACATACATATTGATATTTGCCTATTTGAGCATTGGCATTATATGATTATAATAATGGCAATAATGCAAATGCCCAAACAAGACAAATATCAATATGTCTCTATTTTTTGAAATTGAAATTTTATTCTAAACATTGTGCTAAAGCAACAAATTTTTTTGCAATGTACACCAAGTAACTTCAAGAAAGAATATGGTGATTTTCTCATTAACCTTAACCTCTAACTGCATTTTATGTTAATTTTGTTTTTCTATAATTTCATTAAATTTTATTAAAACTGCAATCACATAGATTATGTTATGCTAATATTATTATTGTTACTATTATTATCATATAAGTCAGTGGCAGAATATCTTACAAGGTCAAAGCCTTAAAAAACAAATTCAGAATTTAGAGTTTTGAATCAGATTTAATTTAATCAAATAAAAACTGTTTAAAAAATTGATCTCAGGTGTGCCTGCATAAACTTGAGTAGATGATTTGAAAAATGGTAAACTGACTTTAATTAGCAGTCATTCTAGAATCTTTATAATTTAAATTAAAGTTATAAAGTAACAACATTTATTCACTGTTATTTGATGATAATTTGAAGGAATTTTTTGAAGTTTATTCTTTTATTTTATACTGTCACAGCATTCTGGTGTGAATATTAATCATTTTATTTTATAAACAGATTGCCAGCAATTTCAAGAAATACTGTAACTCGTAACAGATTAATAAAGCATTCATTTAATAGCAGGGGATCAAGTGATGGTATTTTTGATGAGATTTTTTGTGGTTATATTAATATTATTTATTTATTTAATAATGATAAACCGCTTACTTGGAAAAAATACATTTTATTAATCATTCTTCATTTTTCAGACGATGGTTATTGTTTGAAGAGTGATAAGCAGTTATTTGAAGAGATAACAAACTCAATAGCTAATGAAAATATGAAACTAATTATGAAAAATTTTAAAGGTTGCTCTTGAATTGTATCTTTTTTGAAAATGTTTTATCAAAATTTTGCACTGTTACCATTTCAAATTCGTCTTCAAGATTTTTTTTAAATGTTTACATACAGTATGTTGACAATCATATAAGGAAAACATTTTAACCATTTTTTTATTGTAGAAATTTGCATTATATAGTTTTTCCTTCTACAAATTTTTGTTTTATTTTAAATTTTCAGATTCTCCATCAAACATGGAGTTGTTCATGATTTTAATGGAAGAAATTGATAAACTTAATGCTACAGTTAGCAAGCAAGAATGTAAAATGGCAGCCCAAGAAGGGTTTTTCAGTGCTACAAAAAAAACCTTTAAAAATTGATGTATAATTTATCAAATTAATTCAGCAAAACTGCATTGAAAAGTTGAAAAAACGAATGAAAATACTGGAAAATATTATAGGTTGACCTACTATTATGAAAATGATTTTTTTTTGTCAAGTTCACGTTAATTTAAAAACCGTGAGATCAAGGTCGGTGTTTATTATTAATAGGAATGTAGCAAGGAAAGTGAAAATTGGCTTTTGTTCATAGGTGTAGTTCATATCAATTTATTTTTTTAATTTTGAATATATTATTAATTGCGCCCTTTGTTTTAATTATTTTTTAAAATATTATTTTATCCCTTTAATTATGAAATATTTGTAATCTTACTTATTTTATCCCTTTAATTATGAAATATTTGTAATCTACTTAGAAAAACCTAAGCCTCACACAGAAGTAAAAAGATATTCAGCAATTAGAAGATATCAGAAGGTATGTTTTTTCAAATGTGTGTCGAATTAAAATTTATCTTATTTATCTTATTTATAATTTTTTAAAGAAAGGTAATTCCTTTCTTCTTTCTCAAAAATCGGTTGGTGATAACAACAGCAACAAAATCAACAATAACAAAAATAATAATAATAATAATGATAATAATTATAATAATAATAATAATGGTATAAAGGACATCAATAATGATAACAGTATTGGTGACATTAATCAATCACAAAGAGACGGGTCTTGCTTATACAAAGTTAGGTTACTGAAACTTGATGATTCTCGTATTGATTCAACATCATCTGATCGTTCACTACCTACGAAAATGAACAACAAAATACCAGTTTCAACTTCCACAACGACGTTAAGGTTAGATGCAGCGCTGACCGATACAAGGACGCTAACAAATTCAATCGCGACTGCCGACTCATCAAAGATGAACAACAATCCTACGACTATCGATAAACTGCTTATTCTTTCAAACAATGCTTTCCGGCGAATGATGAAATGTATAAATGAGTTGAATAAATTGGTCGGTTATGGACAACCACAAATATGCCCAACAGCTACCGGAGCCACTTTCAAAGTAAACGCAGTCGCACACATATACATCATCTATTTTTTGTTTCACCACTTTTTAATAAAAAACAGTTTTTGAAAGTTTGTAAAATATTTTCAGTCGATGGCGCCTGTTGTGTTGACATTTTAAATGAACGGCATGTCTCATACTGCAGGCTCGTTCAAACGGTATGAAGAAAACGAAGTTCAGGTTGTCAATAATTTCTAACAACCAACAAAATAACCGTTTAGCAAAATCTGTTCATTCTTCCTCGCCACCATGCATGTAGTTTTAGTATGGTTTAAACCACGAGATTGCGGGAAAAAAAATAAAGCTTCGCAAATGTTGCGTTCCTAATATTTATTTTTATAAAAACCGCCCACATAATTGAATTGGCAAAATTAATAGAAATTTTCAGATTAAAATTTTTCATATTTTTTTATTATCTCCTGGAATAAATTTAAAGCGAGAAGAATTACGATTGTCGGCGAGTTAGCTCATTCGGTAGAAGTGTCTCTTCTTGTTTAATTACGCGTTGGCCTAGTTCAAACACTGTCTATCCGGAACTCCGGCTTATATGCCCTGCGTGTATGATGCGTGCATACATAATATGGATGTACATCGTGCGGCGTGGGTAGTACATCCTTTGGGGCACGAAAGTTTAGCAAAGGTATAGCGTATAAAAGCTAAAAAAAATTGGACCATCTGATTGATATATTTATCCTAATTATATCTTAATTACTTTTAAATTACCAGACGGTAATTGATTGAGAAAGTTGTTTTCCTAAATACGTTAACATGTGTGAATCGCGAATCTTTTCATTATATACGTATGATTTTTATGTGTGCTTTTCTTCCACGTGTACCTTTTAGCGTCTTATATGTACAAGGCTCTATTTATCAGCTTAGACCTTATATATTAAAATAAATAATTTTTATACAATACATGTCGCTTTGTAGCATTTAATCTTTTGCATCTAAAATTATAGATTAAAATTGTTATTAACATTAAATAAATGTCATTAAAAGGACTTCATTCAAGATATAAATGATGGATACTTTCCATCACAACTGCAGTCTGATTATCCCGACGGAGTTCCATTGCAGGTGTGTCGTTAATTAACATTACTTCATTTCAACCTATTTAACAGTTTAACTTAATCTTTGATTCAAACAACTTAAGAGATTATTTAGATTGCTTTATAACAAAGAATTAAATTTTAATTTATGTTCAATATATATGAAATATGATTATCACTCTTGAATAAACGCATCACATCGCGTCTGATTGGCGTGGATCTCTTTGCTTTTGGTCCTATTTACTGCCACAGCAGACATAGATTATTAACACAGATTATTATTATTATTTATTTTATTCTAACATATTTTATTTTTCGTGTTTTATCATTTCTCTTCCTCACTTTTTGTATTTATTTTCTCACTTATTTGTTTAATTTTGTTTTACTGCCTTGCATGTTGTTACAGTTTCTGCGTCTGTCAGATCCTGATTTTTAAAGAATTTGCACTTTTAAAGAATAATAAAAAAAGGCGCTTCAGCCATTACACTATCTCGCTATAATTCGTAGGGAAGAATAACGAAGAGTTGGATAAACTGGGATGATAAATTGTTGAATTTTAGGGTGTTGGACACATTTGCCTAACACTTGTTTATTTTGTTGAATTATTTATTTTAAATTGCCTTAAATCATCTTGAAATTTGAAAAATTTTGTTTTAAAATAGTTTTGCGTAAAATTTGATTTGTTTATGCCATCGCTGTAGTATATTATACTGAGTTGCTCTCTGAAGTGTGTATAAATTAATGATAGCAAGTTGGAGACTGTATAATATTGAAATGCTTGTTAGTGTTTCATAAAACGATAATAAGTTGTTTGAAAATATTGCATTTTTGCTTAGCAAAAATATTTTTATAACATGAGTCAAAAAATAATCCATAAAATAATGATATAAAAACTTTTAAAATTTTAAAACCAAGCTTACTTTGAATAAATTCCATTTAGGTGGATGATAGAAGAAACAAACTGTATCTTATTAGCAACAAAAACAATCACTTCTCTTCCAAGACCAATAAAAGCGCTTTCCAAGATTTTCAAAATGATATTCAAGCTGAATCAAGCAAAACAAATCATTATTTAAATAAATTTCCTCCTCTATTTATAAGAAACGGAGATATTAACTACATTAGAAGCGGTGCTAAATCTTTCGTCCAGGTTAGTTATTTATGACAGAAAACAATAAAGGTTATTCAATGTTATTTTACTAACTTTGTAATATTAACATTTTCAATAGGACGAGGAAATTTTATTTAAAGTCATACAAGATGATAATTATTGCGAATCTAGCGGTATTTGTCTAAAAATTCGTTTCACCACTGGTTGTCAAACGTACATGTTGCACGTGAATGTGCGTGATACGATAGAAAGTGTTATGACAATAATTAGAGAGGAATTGTTAGTTTTTTTTTCACACAGCTTGGATTTCATCCGAGTAATGTTACCAATTTGCTTAGTAAAATTTTGTATGAAAATAAATTCAAGATATTGTTGATGATAATTTTTTACCCCACTTTTTGATTAGGTTTAAATATCGTTAGCTTCTTTATATGAGTCGCATTATACATCAATTTAAATTTAGGTTAAAAGTAAAGAGAAAAATTAATGACTTCGAACTATTTTCTACACATCCAACACGTGTCTACAGTGAACTGGAACAGACGTTGGTATCATGTGGCATCAACCACAACATGCTTCTCTATGCTAGATATAGACCAGAAACTAAAAAAACAATTTTCTATTAGATTAACGTATGACGATATGGATGTGTGTTTACTTTTTCTTATGTTGCTTTTAATTATCAGTTACACTTGTTTAAATTGCAATGAATGAATACATGAGGGTGTATGAAGAAACAAGTGTTCATATTCAAATTTGCTTCATTTTTGTAACCAGGGAATTTTCGTTTTCTTTTTGTTTGTTGATACATACTTATGATAAATTTAGCTAAATTCGTTTATTATGATGTTTTTTTCGTGAAGTGGCTGTGCTCGATGGGTCAATTTAAGGCTCCTCACAGTTATCCTATACCTCTCATTTGATTTGTTCTTCTGGAGGTCTAATAAAGTCATGTTGTGTTGTGTTGTATTGCATTGTATCGTAGTAAAGAAATGTAAATTTATTCAATAGTTTTATTAGTATAAAATTATTTCTTTTAAATTGTTTGGTATTGTGTCGACAAATATAACTAAAGTTAACTTTTGTTTCTCATACGAGATTTCCATTTGTCTCATCACATAAGGACAGTTACATGAATGATCGATATAAATCACACACAGTACTTATTACAAAATAGGAATGCGTAAACTAACTTTTTCTAAAGTTTATAACGCAAAGTTTAAATGTATGTAATAACATAATAATAACTATATACAAATGTAAAGGCTTTCTGTGTTGATGTTAAATTTCAACAAGAAGTTCTTATACTTTGAAATGATTCATATTAATTAAAATTGTAGGAAATGAGATAATGTTGTTAGATGTTTTTTAATAAATGGAAAAAACGTAAAGTGTGGATTTTAACATTCAAATGAAATGAAAATAATTATTCATTACGTGATCTCCGTCAACAAAAACTGATCGGGTGCTGAGGTGCTACACAAGTTTAACATTAATTTTGGCGTTTCATCTATTCCCGTTTACTATAATCATACTGTTACATAATTTTAAAAGATTTGCTTTGAGACACTCATTCAATCAATCAATCTTCGTTTAGCGTCCAGATACCCAGTTTCCTGAGGTAGGACTCATTCTACATTTTTTGTTATTTTTCAGATGTTATAAATAGAAGCATAACGACCTACCCGGATTTGTAATTCATCTTAAGTTTCTTAATGCTCATGTTTCCTATTCATTCATTAAGTAATGCATGTTCCTATAGAACTTGTACTTATCCACTCTTAGCTTTTGTAGTATTCGCACGCTAAAAGTTACTCTTCAAGTTTTCACGTGACAAACATTTCACCCCTAACCTGAAGTCAATTTATCACGAGAAGTAGGCTACAGAAATTATAAAACGTGAAAATTACATTCTCAATTTTTTATTAAGTTTTATGCAAAGATAAATGTTATCACAGATCGTTTGAAAAAAGGCTTTTTTACGAGCACGTTTACTAACATCAAATTCTCATCTACCTAAAAAATTGTAGGTATTATATGCGAGCTATCCAACCATTTCATGCTATTTCACGGAAGTTCCTTGCACGCACTAATTAGAACGTCTAAGCTGTTTTTAGCTGTCAGTAAAGCTTGCAACGGAAAATTTTAAGTTCTAAAATTCCACAGGTGGTTAATTCTCAATAAAAAACGAAATTGAACGTTTTATAATTAATGACAAAAACGTCGCACTCCATCACATTTTATTGAATTCTGTACATCCTTATCGAGTTATCTTGTTCGTGATATGAAGTTTTCTATAACTGCTGTATTAGCTGGAACGAAAACAGTGACTCTTCCAGTCAATGGGAGACTGATAAACAATTGGCAGAGCGGTTGATTGGTTGAGTGACTGTTCGGGTCGAAACCGAACACAAAATTTAGATTATGCGTGAGTAAGCAAACAGTCTGCATATAAAGTAAAGTTAATCTTTATTAAAATCATTTCTGATAAATATAATTACATATTTAATTAACGAAATGGATGAAAAAACATTTTTCTTATTAATAACAAGATAAACTTTGATATATGAAACTCGATATTTAGCAAATATACCGTTGTAAAATTGAAAATATATAATTGAAGAAATTTAATATATGGATGACTTCAACTTTCAATGAAAACAGTTTGCAACAGAAGCTAAAAACAAACTTGAATGATGCGATGCCAATTCACAAATGGCTATTCGATTTAACATTTTATCAATCAATAATGTTTGAGGTGATATTACATAAGAGTTATTAATATAATTCATTTGTAATATTTCGTGAACTATTTGCAATATGATCTAATTGATATTTTTTAAAGTAATTTATAAATATTTTATTATTCATAGTTGAACTATTGTGAAATTTCACTAACAATCCAAAGATTAGTAAACAAAAAAAAAGTATCGAAGAAAATGTTCATGAGTGAAAACTTCAAAATCTAAAACAACTTGAAAATAAAAAATCGTTCCGTTATTATTATTATTATCATCACCAGCATTAATTATCGAAATAATTACTATGACAATAATAATAATAACAAAAACAAAACATGTGATAACGATGAAAATTAATAATACAAATAATAGTGACAAATTTTATTCAAAAATTATACAATGCACATTCACAAATATGAAAAAATTGCAAAAGGAGAAATAGTGGAAAACTCTATGCATCATAAAAGACTTTAAAAGAATAAAAAAAACTATATTTATAATGTCCGATATATTTTATAAAGAATCAAATATAAATATTCTACTATTATTTATATATTCGAGCAAACTGCTGAAAAATTAAATAAAAAATAAGAGTTCAAAATTGAAAACTATTTATCACAAGATGATAACAAATAAATCGAAAGAGAAGAAACAAATATGCTTTACGTTTTAAACAGAAAAAAAACATACAAAGCATAATTCAAAGACAAAAGTTTAATAATGATATTGAAAATGATCTTGAAAAATATTAATCTGAAAAATTTAAAATTTGAATGAAGTAGCAGAACATACAGGATGAAGATAAAAAAATAGCATGATATTCCAAGATATTTTATTTTTAAAATATATAAGTTTGGGTAAACTGTAAAACAACAAAGTGAGCAAAAAACGTTTTGTTCATTTTTTTCATTAAAAAATGCCACTCGAGTCCCAATTTCAATTACAAGCGCACATATCAACGCAACAAATCAATAGAGATTCCAACGTGCATGATAACTCAATAGCGTGTTACCAACTAATTCTACTCTGTACATTTTCGTAACAAACGACGATGGCATCAACTTTCAACCCAGAAAACCCCTATCTCAATGAAAAGAAGTACACGATTCATAAAGATGAACCACAAAAATAACAATTTTTAACTCCAATTTCTTCATCAAACATGGATTGAAAACATATCAATAAATAAATAACGAATTTAGCAAAGATAAAAAAAAAAAAAAACAAAAAAAAACATGATATATCTTTCTCAGTCACTCCCGGGCAGTAAGTATAGTGAACCAATAAAAATAAATGTCACAAAGGAGGTTACAAAAAAAATTAATGAAAGGAATAAATAAATAAACTAATTAATTAATTAATAAACATCATTTTCACATTTTTACTGGCATTTTTGCTGTCACTAAATATAAAAAAAACGTCGGACGAGAAAAAAAAACGAAATTGAAATGAAAGAAAACTCATAACGATAATAAATGCATAATGTTCATAAGCAGTCTCAATGACGGGAGTGGTTTTGTATGATTAATTATAATTATTATTATTATATAATAATAATTATTATTATTATTAGTAGTAGTAGTAGTAACAGTGGTAGTGGTAGTAATAAAAAAAACAGTAGTATTTGTAGCAGTACTTTATAAGAGGATGCATCAAGATCGAGATGATGTTATTATTGACTATCATAACGCTATACATGAATGGTATCAGTGATGAAGATTTGGACACGTGAAACCAATTTATGAGAGTATCAGATATTTTTCTCGTATATCAATAGAAATTAATAATAATAATAATAAATAATAATAATAATTAATTGTGAAAATGATGAGAATGGTATGATGATGACGATGATGATGCTTGTTGGGCGATGAGTAGCAGGTTGAAGAAGGTGACGACATCCTCATACGTCTACAACCATCTTTTTATGAACATCCATGTTGCCTACGACCTACGTTTTCAAATTTAAACGTTTGTATATTAGTTTAAAATCACATTGATCTATTCTTGAGTAGCAATTTAAATCTAAAATCTTACAAAATTATAAAATTATCATTATATTATTATTATTATGTGAGTATAAAATGAATTTCTCAAAAGCCAAATCATAGAATTCGTTTCAGCCAAACTAATGTTAATTGAAAAATAAATTTTAGTGGATACTACTAACAGCACAAAATTCATCAAAAGAGATTTTTCCATCTCCATCTTTGTCAGCATTGATAATTGTCTTGTCGACAATTTGTTGTAACTGGCTATCCTTCAGATTGTTGCCAACCATCATTTTCAGGACTTGGAAGAGTTCTCCATTCGATATGAAGCCATCTCGGTCGATATCGTATATCTTAAATGCAACTGCAGATTTCATTTCATTATTGTCTGTGCGTTCATATCTACTACTACTCTTTTTTCTTCTAAATATCAATGCTGTTATACTTGCTACACACAAGAATAACAACCTCACTTATGTTTGCAGCAGTTCGCTGGCCTACAACCATTTTTAAATAGCAAAAAATTGTTTATTAGCATCATAAACTTGCACGTAAGCAAAAAAGGAAAACTTTTGCAGAGTTTTGTCGTAAGTGAAGCAAATACAAGTATTTATTAGAATAATTTTAACAAAATTAATGATGTTACAGAAAAAAGAATTATTGATGCAATTGTAACAAAATTATTTAAGTAACAGAAAGTTCACATCTGATTGCAATTTTAAACATGGCAGCAAAAGAGGATCCACACGCAGTGGACTCATAACAGCAGCAAGAGTTTGAATATTTTCAACACAATGCAATAATAAAATGTGTATTCCATGATTCCACCACTGTTAACATCAATCACATGATGTTCAAGTTTAAAGACATACACCACATGAATGCTGAAATGAATGAAAAGCCATGAAAGTGAAATAATAATAAACTGACATTTGAGCTTGGATAATTTGTCACCCTTCACACTGAACAGTGAAACTCCTTCGATGAATTCTGTAGTGACAAATTTATTTAAAAATTAATGGAGCCGCGTTTGTAAGATTACACAAACTGATGAAACATGGACAATTTAAAATTTACATGAAAATGTTTTGGTTAGATTAATGAACTAGAATCTGTTAGACAGTTGAACTCTACCTTTGAAGTCGACCTCGCCATTACCATCGGTGTCAAATATTTCGATGACACGCTGCACTAGGGGGTTCTGTTTCAGTTCAGGAAGACTCATGAACTCATCAATGCTCAAGGAGCCTGAACCATCCAAGTCCAACTTCCGGAACCTCTTGCCGAGTCGTTTAATCTCTTCCACATCGACTGCAAACAAATTCATCGACCAACTTTAGTTGGAAAATAATAATAGTAACATTGATAATAATTGTTATTATTTTTAAGATCATCACAGATTAAAACAATGCAAATGATACTTTGAATTAAAATAATTTGTGAAATTACTAAAAAATTTTCATAAAAATTTTCATAAAAATTTTCGAATTTTTAGTCAAATGATTCTAGACATAAGCAAGCATGAAAACATCATCACCATTATTATTGTTATCACTATCATCATAATTATCATTACAACATACGCCACATGTAGCATCAGCAACCTAAATATGAATGGATGTGATAAAGAAAGAGACAGTATAAACAAGGGAACAATGCCTTTCAATAACAATAACAGGAAAATGCATACGCTCCCTATTCAATAGTTTTAATTGCACGACATGCAACGTGGGTGGTGAGTAGGCAGATGACATGCTATACAAACATGATGATCATTTTATTCTAATGATGGATAAATGAATGAATAAGCCAATAAACCAATGATTATAAATTACATAGAAAAACTAATAAGTAAATATAACCAACCATTATACATAAAAAATATTTCATTTAATAAACAGTTTCTCACGCATAAGCGTATACAGTGGCATACTAGATATAGTTTGTATGTGAAGACGTACCTACAAACTCGCATACATAAGTGTGTACCTACCATACACACCTACATACACCACGTACAAACCACTCGTTACACACACGTCAGCCAGTGCATGGTATTATTTGCCTTGCTGAAATTTACCAATACAATCCTCCATTAATTGATGCAAGTAGCCTTAACGAATAATAACAAAATTTCTGCGATACCAATAAACGCGGGAAGCTACGAATCAATGGCTGTATCAATTTTTTCATGGACAGACGACAATATAAAATGAGATTAAATCAGATTTCAGAAGCATGTAAAGTCTACTAAAACATCACGTTGCAGGGAATTGTGATAAGAGTATTCATTAAAAACAGAACAAGAAAAGCATGCCAGCCAATTAATGACTTAGTTATACGTAATCAATAACTTCCCTTACACAGGTCAAATATTTATGGATTCACAGATAAAAATTAATTATTACACAAATGAATAAACACACACGCACGCGCACGCACACACACACACACACACACACACACACATATATATATATATATATATATATATATATATATATATATATATATATTAAATAATGAAGGTGCAAATGTTTAAAAATGTTTTCATTAACTATGAGTTTAAATGTAAACTTCAAGAAATCAGCTAAATTGTGTTTATTTATTAATAATAATTTTACATATTTTCCACTACATTCTATTAACAACTAATAATTAACTACACCAAAACAATATTTTGATATTTGAATTCTCTTCCTCTTTTATTTTCAAAATACTTTTACAATTTTGAAGCATTGAAAAAATAACGTTGGAAAAATAATGAAAGGAAAAACAGAGAAATGTTTGAAATGGATGCAACTAAATACTGCATGCCCTTTCACATCTGTCATTTAATATGCTGGAATATTTTGTTAATGTATTCGGCTCACGTCATTATCATCACTCATCACTCTTCTTTCTCCTCTGTCATGTTTTCAAGAAGAAATATTGTTATCATTATTAGACATTATTAACCAAAACATGACAGCAGCAGGCAACGAACTGAGCATAAGAAAACAAAATGATCAGATCTCCACCATAATATATTTGCAATATCCACCGTATTATGGGACATCTTTTTAACATCTGAGCTGGTTTTAAACCTCCTAACTTTAGAGTGCTCGGCAGAGATAAGATTTACAGAAGGAAATAACCAGGTAGGAAACCTCAGTCAGAGATAGACTCAAGAGACAAGTGAATCTAAGCAAGTGGTTTGGAATGAATCGCATCATCATTATTTTTCCAGAAATATTTTTTCAATAAGAAATTTTAACGATATGAATGAACGCAGAAATGCGCGTGAATGATAATTTTAGACAAAAAACAAAAAGCGAAATTTGAAAAGTAATTTGTGAGCCTGTAAGGAACTTTCAAATAAATATGACTCAATTATGCATTGCAGTGACCTTAACAAATTGTTAAAATTATATGTTCAGAGGAGTGAAATTATCCTGCACGAAGAAGTCCCATGTAGACTGATGAGGCAAGATGTGTTTGTGATTTGTTATGCAGAGGCTGAGCAGTTCTTATCGTGCCAACCTGAAAAATTATTTCTTTATTGATTTTTCAGAAAAAATATATCAATTTTTACATGGGAAAACAAGAATGTGTGAACAGATAAATAAAAACTACCAAGCTGTAACTGTATATAAGGGCAACCACATATGTAATAAAAGTCTATGACATGGTTTATGAATAAGCGAAATTAATCAAAACAGTCTAAAGAATGCCACAATTTTTCAAATTATCAGCTGACAGAAATATTTCAAAGTATTTAAAAATTTACAAGCTCATGTGGCTATGGCACGTAATTGCCTGGAAAAAAAATCATTAATCCAACCAGATATCTTTGTAATGTGCACCTGCAAAGACATGCAACACAATTAAAAAACGAAAAAAAAACATCAAAGAAGGGACAGACATGCAAGAACCAATGCAATGCTATTCTATGTTTAATAATGCAGAATTAATTATAACGTTTTCCTAACTGAACGAGAGAGAGCAATGTGAGTCCATCTCAGATCTGGGCATTGTTATAGTTACATAACCGCATCATTTTTGTACATCATACGAAGGAAGCAATTGTCGAGTCCACTTTTATGTTAGAAAAACAGCATCAGGCATGTAACGTGGCAGTGTTCAAAGTTATGCACAATTCGAGCAGTTATAACAAGTTTTTACATTCGTGTAACTTTTCTGCAATACAGAAACAACTTCGTTTATATTGCATAAATGTTTTTTTGTGGTTTTTGCATAGTCTGCGATGCTTTATGAGCAATAAAGATGGAAAAATATAAAAAAAAGACTCGTTATAAATCTTAATTAACATATAAAGTATTATCAAATATGTACGATGCTTCCACAACACTAATGTCTTTACTGTAGATTTTGTTATCGGTCTAAGGTGAACTATTAACAATTTAATGTACAGAAAAACACACATCTGTCTAGCAGGATTATCAAATAAATGTTGATAATGCCTTCAATGATAATGATGATTGAAGCTGCTATAAACACTTGTTGTTGGTTTGCATTAATTAACAAAAACTAAAAGTGAACTAACTAAACAGTAGTAGGGAGAAACTGTGTCATGTGTGATGAGAGATAGCATTAGAAGTGCTAAAAACTTAGATAGTTTGCATGGAAACAAAAAAAAGACTGGCTGTAAGGTAGGTTAATAATAATTATCACAGAATGTATAATGTGGCAGTCATCTTACTTTCATGCCTACCCACCCATTGATGTTATTCATCAGTGGGTGGGTAGGCATGTCTCACTAAGAGGGGCATCAAGAAGATTTGAGCCTGGGCAATTCACCATTTCCAACAAATGTTGCACCTCTATGTAATTTTTGATGACCCTTTAATGTTAAACATTTTGTAATGGCAAGCCTTCACATTCAAAACTATAAATGAATAGCTACTCTGAAATAAATACAGCAAAGTAGTTTAAAAAATATTGGCTAAAGTTATCTGAAAGATATAATATTCAAAAATTTGTTTACTAATTAAAGAATACAACAAAACGAACGTGCAAACCTAATTTTTCAAATAATGTGTATGCGTGAGTGTGTGTGAAGTGAACGACGAAAATGTACCTACTTATTTCCAAACCATCCCAACTGCAGTTGTTCTGACATAGAGTGTACTTATTATTGGAGAATAATTTGTTGGCACATAAAAGTTGGCCACCTCATTCCAAACATCTTATAAATCATACATATTATAATTGATTTTATTCTCAGTTACTGTAAGCGCGATGGGTCTGAATATAATAAATACACAATAGCAAAGTATTCTCAGATAAGAAATCAATATGATTCAAAATTAGCCAAAGTTAGCTAGATTCTCTTAAAAACAATTTAAGTAAGCAATACTTTACACCTTATGTAACCATGAAATTACACAAGAAATTCAAACAAGAGTATCATAGAAAAAAACACCTTCATATAATGTCAAAATTGAGGTTGGGGACCAAAAACATGATGAATCATTTAACTAAATGTTGCTAACAGTGCAAGGTTATAAAAAGTTAATATTAAATTTTAATGTAGAAAATTACGAATCAAAATTTTGAAGAGGCAGTTTAGCAGAATATAACGGAAATAATTACGATGTAGTTAAATTAAATTGTTTTAAAAAAACTGTGTTGACAAAAAAAAAAAATTTTGATAACAAATATAATTTGATCAACGAGTCTATACTTATTCCAGATTAAATATGTAACATGTGAGTGATACGAAAATGAAGTAACATCAGAGAGGAAGAGTAACAGAAAAAAAAGAAACAGAACGAAACAAAGCATAAAACCAACTGCCACCTGAAACAAACATGCAATTAAAAAGCAACATTGAAAATTATGAAATTTTATTGCTGTTGTCAAGTAAACATTTGTAGTGCAGACAGGTTCCATGGAATGAAATGAAAACAAGGAACGAATATATATATATATATATATATATATATATATATATATATATATATAGTTGACTTGTATCCACTAGTACGTTAGTATAAATGTACAGGGGTAAGAATTTGTTGATCCACTACTGTGTGTGTGTGTGTGTGTGTGTGTGAGAGTGAGAGTGTGAAAAAGAGAAAGAGTGATGTGAGACTGTACACAAACACATTGTTATTAGAAAATAGAAAAGAATATTGAAATAAATAACTTGAATGTAGAGATAAGAATAGATGAAAATGTAATTAATAGACTAAACACATGCACAATAACAGACGAACCAGCAGGATACTAAACATTAAATCATTTGGTTTTAATTTATGTGAATAATCTAACAAACCTTTGCAGAAATATTTAATTTGGTAACAAAA